TTATTAAAATATTGTATTTTTTAACATCTTCACAAACATGTTTGTTATCAGATTTAAACCAGAATTTAAATTAACCAGACTACATTATGACAGTTATTTCGAGTTAATATAATATTTCCATAATATAATATATTTATTTATTTATTTTTTTAACCAGTATATTCTTGTTTTTTTTAATTATATGAGTGATTAGAATTTTTATCGGGGAGTGAAAGAATTAATCCAAATGTAATTTTACGGTGTAAAAGTGAATGGGCGATAGATTCCTTTCATAACAAAGGAAAGTAATAAGGTAGACTGTACAACGTTTTCCAAATCTTTATGCACTTTTTCTTCCCATGCCAGGACCCCACAAATGAGTATCAACTCACTGCATTACTGAGTACTCGGTGTTGTTATTTTCAAGTAGATGATACCAAATAAAAGTTTAAGCCATTTTTTAACATTGCTCTTTTTGATTTCTGCAATGAAGAAATATGTATGCCAGGTATTTACTGACCACTTCTATTCTGTTTTGTCCACCTGTGACCTCTCTTTCTTAGCTGCTATGTCGCCATTCAGAATACTATCACTTTTGAATTTGCCAGGTTTGTTGTAAGGTTCCATCTCAAACAATATGACTAATTAATGTATGCATTAATTGGTTTGGTTTAGAAGCGAGTAAGACCAGGTTCATCTGTGTACGCCAATAGTTTGATTTTGCTGCCCCCTTCCAGAGAGATGCTCCCATGTAGGTTACTCTCTGGATTGTTAATATAAAACAAAAAGAAAGGCAAGCTGGGTAGGCAGCCTTCTCTCAATATCAGTCAGAAGGGTTCTGATAGGGCATTCGAGCATCACACATTGGCTGAAATATCCCAAATTAAATTTTATACTCTTACTTTAGTGGAAAGTTTTAATTCGTATAATTTGTATGTTAGGGAAGGGTGCAGTAAGATCTGTACACCTTGTACAGCATGTTTTGAGCTTTAATTTGGCAAAATTCATCAAAATGAATACAGTATTATCCGCTGAGTAGTTTCTCCTGAATCCAGCTTGAAATTCTCTTATTAGTTTATTGCTATTTGCCCAATCAGTTATTCTATTTAACAACAGGCCACTGTATAGATATTTTTTGATGGGGGGTTAATTCATTCACAAAGGGTATGTGCCAATGACCAGTGACTCTGGTTTCTGACAGAGTCAGTGTGATTCTATCTCTACTTTGCCCATCTTTAGTGTCTTTATGTGGTTTTTAACTGAGCAGTGGCTGGTATAGTGGCCTATAATTTTTGCCAATCCTTCGTGTTGAGAGGGAGAGAAAGAGAGAGAGAGAGAGAGAGAGAGAGAGAGAGAGAGAGAGAGAGAGAGAGAGAGAGAGTGAGAGAGGAGTTTTTTTAAGAGATTTGAGAGATAAATCTTAGCTTGCCTCAAACCTGGTCCTTTTATCAAGTGTTTGAGTTTTTCTTTCTCAAGCTATTTTTCCAGTTCTAACTTAAGCACACATGTGCACCTAGTGGTACAGGCCCCCTTTTTTGGCAAGTTAGTCATCAGCTGTTCATTTCCTTCTATACCTTCTTGTTCAGGAACCCACTTTAATGTATTATTAATCTGTGCACCTTTCATATTTTTCTTTTTTATCTCTGTGCACAGAGTTGTTCTGCATGACTTCAGTTTAAAAGTATTGGGGTTAGTCCAAGGGACATTGCTATGGTATAGTTCAGCCCTTTTCCCCCTACACCAACTTATTGTTCTATCTTCGTTCCATCTGTGAACCATATTACTACACCTTCCTGAAACTTGGGGCTACCTTTCTTCCAAAGTTCTCTACTATCTATGACCATTTTGAAGGGTCTGTAAAAGTTGAATTCCTCCTCCCCCCATTTTGTCAGGTACTGTAATTTCAGATGTGACAAAAAACAACTACACTCCTGATGAAAATTAGCACACCACCTAAATTTTTAGGCAAAAATCCTGTTTAAATAAAACTGACTAGACCTCTTTGTGTTCATTTGTTTATTTTATTATTCAGAACCATTTAAGGATTTTTACAACAAGTAAACAGTTGTCTTTAATCCCATTTGAAATGAAATTTACTAGACAATTCTTGCTGGTTGATTCCCCAGTTTGCAAACTTAAAACACTTTTTGAATAAACTTTTTTACCAAATGTTAAAATTTCAATTTAAACAAGTAAATTTGTGTAAAATTTATGGCACTAGTAAGAAATTTAACACAAAATGAAGCCATCGGAGCAATGACCTGTGTCGAAGAAGGGTACTGCCAACGTGAAATAGCCAGGAGGCTCGAATTTTACCACACTTCTATTGGGAGAGCCCTTCGGCGGTTCCAGGAGACCAGCACCTACACACAAATACAGGTCAAGGTTCAAGAGCCACAACCAAAAGAGATGATCGTTTTTGCACCTTAATGCTCTCAGAATAAGGCAAGTTACAAATTCTGGACTGAGTAACCTTGTGTCAAAGATGTAACCATTTTGGCTCCCACTGTAAGAAGGCCAAGAGAAAGGATTGAGCAGAACACAGGTTGCTACTGCTAAATCTCAATTGGAGTTTTGATGACTAGAAAAGAATTTTGATTTCTGATGAGGTCAGAGTCCCTCTAAGACAGTCGAGTTCAGACATGGAGAAAAAATTGCACAATGCAACATTGTTCCTCGCCTGACTCAATCATGTTCTGAGGCAGTATCACGATGGAGACCTGCACTGAGTTAGTGGTTGTTCAAGGACAGGCTCTAAATGCGGCAAGGTATGTGGAAAAAATCCTAAATCATCATGTAGTGCCTTTTGTTAGGGATATTGAGGAAGGATTTTTATTCGTACAAGATAACGCAAGACCACACAGAGCGAGATCTGTGGAATAATATCTCGATGAGGAGGCTATTGAAAGGGTTGACTGGCCAGCTCAAAGTTCAACCCCATCAAGCATTGTGGGTTCAGCTCAAAAGACAAATTCAAAGTCATGTACCAGCTCCTGCTAATTTTACTCAACTGAAACAAGCTGCTCTGGAAGAGTGGGAGAATATTCTTCAAGCAAACATTACGAACGTTGTTAAATGGATGAGAAGACATTTACAAGCCGTAATCAAGACCAAAGGAGGCAACACTAAATACCGATGTTTTAATTTTTAATTGAAATTTCAATTCAATTTTCTACTTTTTTGAGGGTTTTTTAATAAAATTATATTTTTCTGTTTTTGGTGTTTAATTTGTGCTTTATGTTTGGTTATAATTTGCACAATATATCTAAAAAAAAAAGAATAAACCCTAGTATTAATAAAATGGAATTTGTAATGGAATAATGAAGTGGTGCGCTAATTTTGAGCAAGAGAGTAATAGTAAATAGAGTAGTAGTAAATAAAAATCGTTTATTTGCAGTAATAAAAAGTACAGTTGAACCTACAAATTACTGAGATAGAATTTAGATTAGTTTGAGAAAATAAACAAATGAAAAAATACAAAAATAAAAGTTTAGAACCAGTTACAAAATTTGATCCATTCACTTACCATTTGTGTGTTCCTGAAAATTTGTCTTTTGACATAGCCACAATAATTCGAAACCAGAATAAACAAGTTCTGGCATGTTGTAAAACAATAATTATAAATATATAATAAGGTAAATGTTTAAATTAATTTCCTTATTGTCAAAATCTTACCCAAAAGAAAAATTCATAGTGGAATGAGAGTGCTATCTACCGATTGAATTCCTGGATACAAAGAGATCTATTTTTCTTTAAAACAATTCACCCCGTATTTAAACACATTTAAATTAAATTATTATTACATTTTAGTGGGTTTTTAAATGTTTAATGTGGAGTTTTTTGAAATATTTGTTTTTAAAATCGGAGAAAAGTAACGTGTCGGTGTTTTTCTCTTGATGGCGGTGGCTGTAGTTCCATGCAGACGAATCACAAACCAACTCTTTACAGTTCAGAACTTCAGACTTTCAGAGTTCAGACGTACTGTGAACTTTTAGGAGCGTGTCAACGTTTCGTGTCTTAAGACTTAAAAGTGAGTAAAATCGTTTGATTTTTTCTCATTTACAATCATTTTTAATTTTAAATGTACGTTATATCTTTTGATTGGGTGTTATTTTTTTGGATTTTTCGCCTTGGGAGAGTCACGCTGAACCGACCACGTGGAGATCATACTCTGCTTGGGATAGCGTGTACTTCTGTTGTGCAGATCAGTCAATTTCGTTGTTTTTTATTATTTCTTAAACTAGGTACAGGCTGTGGAGATAGATTTAAAATGTTTTTGTACAAATTGGAAAATTCTAACCTTGTAAAATTAAGTTTAGTTTTATGAGCCACGCTATTCTTAGAGTAGAACCATTAGATTCAAATAGCCATCTTTTATCCGTTGACATACTGAATATGAAAATATTTAGACTGAATTCGTTTTTCCATGTCAGAAAATTTAAATTGTCTTATGAGTAAATTTTATATTTCAGAATGCGTTACGTGGCCGCTTATTTGCTGTCCGCCCTTGGCGGAAAAGATAACCCGACTGAAAGCGACATCGAGAAAATCCTTAGCTCTGTCGGTATCGAAGCTGATTCCGAAAGGCTTAAGAAAGTCGTATCGGAGCTGAAAGGAAAGAACCTCGAAGAGGTCGTAAACAAGGGCAAAGAGAAGCTCGCTTCCGTTCCCTGCGGAGGAGGAGCCGCTGTCGCTGCGACTGCTGCCCCTGCTGCAGCTGGTGCTGCATCACCGACCAAAGCTGCAGGTGAGCCTATAGCTATATACCAATATTAATCCTTTAGCCTTTGAAACCATCCGTACCTGATGATCAAAATTTGGGGTCGGACCAGAACAAAGGCTTAAATCAAATCTTGGGTCCAAAGTAATAGCTTTATCTCAATATTCTATTACCATTTCACACCAAGTACATTTATTAAAATATATTCATACATTAATGGGCAAAGTTAACGGACCACTTATTTATTTAGTTTAAAAATCTTTCCACATTAATTACAGATAATTAGAAGCTATTGTAGTCAAAGTCAATTGTATATAATGCTTTGCTTACTGTTCACTTTGCACAAAAAGTATCATTACTCCTTTCCATTCTGCTAATCTAAAGATTGCTTCCAGTTAATCTTTTTCCTTCGATCATTTCATTTGATATTATTCTTATTCTTAAACCTTTTTCAATGGGGTTCATGGTTCAATGACTGAAGAGGGGCATTTCAGTCAGTATGACAGTGTCTGAGTCGTTGGACGAAGGATATTGCCAGCGCAAAGTCACTAGGAGGCTTGAGTTTAAATTATTCTGCAATAGGAAGGGTTATTTTCGTGCTTCAGTGAAACTGGGCTTAACACTAGAAGGCCAGGTCTTTCTACGAGATTTGCCAATTGTGGGCCAAAAAAAAAAAAAAATTGCACATCCTTGGCAATGTCGGCTATATGCAGCCCAACACTGAAATGCTGCCATTTCCAGATGATGATACTTAAGGTTCTGTGAAACCATTGTAATACAAGAAATCTGATAAGACAAGTCCGAAATATTCCAATGTCCGTCCTCCTAGACAACAAACCCATTTGGGACCAACTTAAGTGATGAGCATGAAAACGAAACCCGGTCCTAACACCCTAGAAGAGTTGGATGGAAACGCTGTTCTTGTTGAATGGAAAATAATTAATTCCTCAGGATTTTATCATAAATCTGTTCCAAGGAATGCAAAGGTGTTTAACAGATATGATTTGTACCACAGGTGTAAATACTTGGTATTAAAGGGGACGAAAAGAAATTATTTTATTTTTTATGTAAGAATTAAGTTATAAACTTTTTTCGTTTCTTTTCAAATGTCTTATTTTACCATCAAACCTATTTTTGATATGCAAAGTAAGAATAAACCTAAATACAATAAAATTCAAGGGTGGTGCGTTTATTTTGCCCATCAGTATTTTACACTGTATTAAATCTTTTTAAGAACATTAATAACCATTAACCCTTTTTTTTCTAGCTGAGTCTAAAAAAGAAGAAAAGAAAGAAGAATCAGACCAGTCGGATGACGACATGGGCTTCGGACTTTTCGATTAAATCTTCAAATTCCAGGCCTACTGACATCAGGCGATATAAAGATGTGATTATGTTTTTATGATGTATGATGAACTGTAATAAACTGGAATTTTTTAATAATTTTTTTGTTATTTTTATTTAACTCATTTCCAAAACTTGATTTTCTTGATTATGTACTTTTATAGATAACAATTAAAATCTCATCGAAAAAAGGTAATGGTCTTTACTTAAATTTTATTACCATGTTGTTATTTAATATTGTTTTATTTTAATTACAGGTTTTTTCGGGCATCTGAGCCTCATGTTCGTTTTTTGAAGATTCCTTTCTAAATAAGCATTTTCCTCCAAGGATGTGATCAAAAAGGACCTTCAGTTAAAGGGTAAATATAAAGTTAATAATAATTTATTTTATTTTTGTAATTGCTGTGATGTTAATTATTCAAAAACATCTTTCGGGTCTGAGAAAAGGCTGATGATAAATGATAATCTGATTAATTTTTTATAAAATAACGATGTTCGTAGTTGTTACAGAAAAATTAATTAGTTCTTGTATTTTAGGTATCATTGGATCATCAAACAGCCCTTGAATTCAGTTTATCGCAAAGAAAAAAGGTATTATTTGTTTTATTAACAAATTGCAACTTTTTAATGAGTTCATTTAGGCTTACTTATAAGGCATACTTACAACCTATGCTGTTGGCCTAATTAACATGATGAATTTATTATTGACCATCTTTCGGATGAGCCAGAGTGATTTTAACTTTTTACTAACTGAAAACCTTTCAAAATCAATGCACATTTAAAAAGTTTATCCCAAATTTAATTACAATTGTTTCATTTCAGACTTGGTCCTGTGGGAAGAAAAAAAGCTGATCAATATCAGGTAAATTTATACTAAATAATCCATTATATTTTATCATTTACATGATGTTTACATTATACAAACATCTTTCGGGTCTGAAAATAAAATGAGGACAAGTTTAGTCTGATCACATTTTAAAAGGTCGATCAGTGCATTACTGTTACTAAATGATATTAATAAAGATTTTTCACCTTTCAGATCGGGAAGTCTTAAAATCTCGGATTTTTCATTGAATCTTCAATTAAAAGGTAATTAATTTGTTTGAATGAATTCACTTTTAAGCTAACAGACATTGACTTTCATGTGATGAAATTTTTTCACCATCTTTCGGATGAGACAAAATGATTAATAAACATACCTGATCTAAATAATATTTATATTTTAACTATTATTAAATTTTAATTTTTAGTCCCCCCACCAAAAAAACCTAAAAATTTAAATTTACTTTTCAGGACTTGGACTTATTGTGGAAAATGAAATATGACATGAAAAGCAGGTAAAGTTCAAAATAAAATATATGCTTGTTAATAATTTCAAAAAAATGTATATGATGCTATAGTAAAACAACATCTTTCGGGTCTGAGAAAAAAATGATGATAAACTTTACTCTGATAATAGTTTAAAGTGCAGATCACAAAAAAAAAAATAGAAAATGAAATATCAAGTTAGTAATATGTTGTATTTTTCCCCCAGATTTTGTGACATTTGATGAAGTGTTTCAATGGATCAGCATTTATATCAGGTATATATCATTATAAAGTATGCATTAAAGTAGTTAAGAACTGTCACAGTTAAGGAATAGTACATACTAAATACAGAAAATTCCTTCATTTCCTCACCATTTGTCATTTCTTGTTTATTTTGCCTTTCTTCGTAAAAAGATATATATAAGATAGAATAAGGGGTTTGAAAGAAAAGGCAAGCCTAGATTTATCTAACGTGTGGTACAAAATTGTAGAACAAAGTATATTTCGTAGTTTCTACCCATTCAGGACAGCAGTGAGCGTCATATCACACTCTAGTGTCTTCACTAGCCATCCTGAATGGGTTAATACAAGTGATACTTTTGTTGTACAAGGGCAAACCGATTTGCCTTTCTTTTCATATTGCCCCAAAATATTACCTAACATTTTTTCATTTATCTAATTACTTTAACCCTTAAATGCTGTGGTAAATATTGTAATTTTACAGTCATACAGGTATTCAGTTTTCTCAACTTAATTAAAGTCCTTTGAAGAAGAATTTCACATGATGAATTTTTATATTACTTCACCATCTTTCGGATGAGAGAAAGTGATTAAATAAATTAGCCTGATATAGAATAATATAAATTTAAAAGATTAATAAATATGTCTGTTTTCCCCTCCTAAAACTCCTGATTTTTTTATTTTCAGGCACTATAAGGAAACTATCAATCATGCGTACGCAACACAGTAATTTCATTTGATAATCAACATCAGGATATCAATAATCTTAATGGATTTTTTTTCAGACAGGTCTTGCAAATTTCACATTGGCATGTACTGTCCGATTTTACAAAATTCAGTATTACTCAGATAAAACCTACTGAAGTATGTGTGTATATATATATAATCACCTTATTATTTATTATAACTTAAAATTGTATTATTTTTTTAAATAAATCAATCAAGTGGTCTTCAGACTTATTTTAAAATATAACTCCTTAGCAACCAGAGTTGTTTTGTTTCCAGGTTTGATGTGCTCTTGATTCTTGTGATTGTACAAATGAATAACTACGAAGATCCTGATCTTAGACCTTTCTGGTAATTTGTGTTTTGTGTGGTTTTTCCATCAGGAAAATTCTTGTAATGTTTGAGCAGTTCAAATGTCAATACTGTTCAGTCATGTCAGGATTAAGGGAAACAACGCAGCAAACAATCCCATCGTCTCAGTTTTAATAAATCCTGAAGATATAAAGTCTGTTTTTAAACTTAAATTAATTGAAAATTGGGAAAATCAGAGGAAACAAACTTCCAGGTGTGATGAGGTCGTACTATGTCGATTATGAATAGGGCACACAAATATGACCCCACAAGCATCTCGTGGAAAAATCTACCACCAACATGCCTTTGTGGTGATAAATGTACCCCAAAAACTGCTGGTCTATATAGTAGGGAATGCACAGAAAAAATTGATCAGGTCTTAGGAAGTCTTAAAAACGAGAAATTTTATATCCTACAAATTTCCAATAAACCAATGGTAGTACAGTCAATGACAACCTTTGATGTTTTTTGCCTACATAAAAAAAAAAGTTCACGTTAAACAACGAACCCAGAAAAAATTAAGTAGTCAGATAGCTTGATCTTTTTCCTTATTGGCCCTTTGGTTTTTGCTTGATTATTTTATGTTTGAAAATTAATAAATTTGTAACTTGTTACTTCCTTTTGTTTTTAAACTCTTCAGTTTGTGTTAAGGTTTGCTATTTCTTATTTGGGAAAAGTTTAGAATTATATAACAACAGTGATTTAAAAATAACACGAGAGAAGGGCGGTTTTGTACATACAAACAAAAACTCAATTTTTTCTAGTTCTCTTAGTACTTGAACTAGAGAAATTTTCAAACAATATTAGTGAATTGGCTATTTCCAGTTGAAATAATCCGGGATGGTCTGGCAATCATTAAAATAACTAATGTATAGAAATAAACTTAAATTTCAAGTCAGAATCTTTTTTGTGGGCAGTACGATGATGGAAATCTAGGAAGTGGGGTGTTCTGTTCCTAAGCCCTGCGGTCTTCTGTCTTATTGGAAAATTGCTAGTTCCTTATCTCAGTTCAATTAAATCAATCCTGTTAAAAAGTGTAAGGTCAATTCTTTGGGTTTTTTTTATACTCCAGGTTATATATCCGTTGAAAAGATGGTTCACATTCAAAGATGATATCGGATGTTTCTTCCTCCACATAGCATAACCTACGAATAGATCATCATTAAATACACCCATGTTGTGTAGATGCTAGTAACCGGTAGTCATATCTCCTCTGAGTTTAAACCAATAACTGTATCGATAAGTTTGCCAAGTTCTTTTAATGTAAGCATAACTGTTTCTGGCACCTTTAGAGTTTATCCTTCTTCCTTTTGTCTTTTTTTGATCCATTTTTAGGTGGAGGATCCTGTTTGTTTTTGTCTTTTCAAGTATAGATTCAGGGCCCATGTATTCTTGCAGATCCTCTTTTCAGTGTATCTGCCTTTTCGTCCTGGTACACAACATCAGTTTGTTGAGTTTTCTCAGGCTTTAGAGAAATTTTTTGTTGACTAATTTTGATGTGATTTTTTTTATATGCTAATGCTTTAATTTGTTCTTATGAGGAATTTTTCATAGGAATCATTCTATTTTAAGATTTTGTAAGGCATAAGCATTGATGGTATTTTCAGCTGGAAAGACCGAGGTTTACTTCCATAATGAGTTAGATTGCTCATTTTCATATTTTAGATTTGTGTGAAAAATGCCTGATCTGGTTCCTTTATTTTGGAGCCATCTATATATCATATTTCCTCCTGAATTCTTCTTCTCCTTTGTATTCTGTTGAGACTGTATAGGTTTTTGTAAAGAATATTTACAGGATCATATAGTCAGTCTATTTCTAAGAATGGGTGTCTGATTTTATTAATTATGCTGTATTCCTGAATTGTTTAATTCCCTCCAATTTGATTGTTTTTGAAGCCTAAATGGGCTTTTTTGTATAAATATTAACAAAGGAGGTAGGTTTAGCAGAGTTTCTGGTTCTCTTTGATACATAGGTTTGCCAGTGTTTCTATGCTTCCTGTTTGTGCTACAGTTTATAGAAAAATCAACAAAGAAGAGATGAATATTTAAAGATTTATTTACAAAATCCAAGTGTTTTTTTTTTATCTCTATTTTATTTACCTCATCCTTTTTTTTAACGAGGAATTTCAACTACAAGGTATATCAACCCCTCAGGAAAAAGCCCCATTATGTATCGAGTATGTCAGATTCAAATGCAGGACCACTGGATTTGAACTTGGGACCCTTACCTTACCAGCAGTTTACTGCCAACACCTGAACCATTGTGGCCACTGACACCCCTTGAGTCTTATTAGTGCTGTATATAGGCCATTTTCTTAATACCAATGATTTGAGTAACCTGGTACTTCTAGAGTTTGTTTTCCGTAATTTATGAAAAGCCTATTTATTATGTACTGTTTAATTAATTGCTTGAAATAATGTAACAATAGCAATTGTTAAAATAATCCACATAATTCTACATTTTTATAAACAAAAATATATATTTTGCCTTAGAAAATTGTTTTCCTAGTAACTTGGCAGTTGTTAGGAAGCCATCCTGATAATTTGTAAAAGTTTGTGCTATTTCCATTTCAAATAATCTTGGAATGATCTGGCATTTTAACAGTGAGATGATAAATAAGCCTTTTTATTTTTTTTAACTTGTAATTAATAAAAGTTTTTCTTTTTCTTCTTGGACTTTTCCAACAATTTATATTTGAATAACTGTGCTAAATCATTTTGGCGCAGGCTTAAAATTGCCTGGATTGTTTCAATTTTTCTTATTAAATTTGAAAACATAAGAACAAATATTGAATATTCAGTTTTACTTTCTTCAGCCCAGATTGTCTTTGTTTGGGGCCAGTTGGTTCTGGCAAGTCGCTCCTCCTCAAATGCTTGCAATCGCCATCTTCAGTTGATATGAATACGAGTTCATGCCCGACAGTCGGGACGACAATAAAAACGGTGCATGCTTCGCCGACCGACAAGCTCACCATATGCGAAATCGGGGGTGGCGTCGCTCCTCTCTGGGCGCATTATTACAAGGGTGTGAGCAAGATCATATTTGTCGTCGATGCAAGCAACCTTTGCCAGATCTCTGCTGCTGGTGTTCTTTTATATTCTATATTATCCGAACCTTGCCTGCGTAATGCAAAGGTAATAACCAATTCTCACCTGTTAATGTATTATGCTAATTTTTGTTGTTGTTAAAGTTACTTCTAGTACTTTCTAAAATGGACGCTTCATACAGACAGATGAGAAATGAAGCACTGCTTATGCTGCAAATGAAGAGGCTGCAATTTGAGGTGACCCAGAAAATTACCATAGTACAAGCAAGTTCTTTTTCTGGGGAAGGCCTCGACGAAATTAAATCTTGGTTATGTGAAAAATAACATACTACACTAAAATCGCAAAACAAAATTATTATACTTAAAAAGACAATCAGTGAAAGACAGCAGACAAATGTACAATTATTTAATTCTATAAATATAAATACTTTACAAATTACAAGCTTGTGTTTATACAAAATATGTACAAATCTGATGATTTATGGACATAAATTTTCCAATTTACAGGTCTTCATAAGTTAGAAACTTTATGATCAATTTAGGTACATCAAGAGATCTCAGTTTGTTCAGGAACTCGCCCGGTAGACACAGTCTGTGTAAATCCCTCCTTATTTCAGACCTCGTGATGACTTTGAGGCTTGGCACTTTCCTGTGCTTTATGAGCTCAGAGATTGCCCAGACATTCGGATAGTAGTCGTAACAGTTCTGTGCCAAAAGATCTGAAAATGTTTTACACACTGGTGTCGTATTGTTACAAACGCCCAGGAAAAATTCAGCAAGAGCAATTTCATTTCCTAGCCACCTGTATGACCCTTTCATCGAACCTGTGAAAATTTTAATGAAAAAATTAACCATCAAGTCTTCAGGTTCTATGACAGTAGTGTATCTCAGGGTCAATTTTAACCCTTCTATATAACCCATCTCTATTAATGACCGAAACAATTCCGGTATTAAATTTGTATCGTCTTCACTCCTTGAAAGATCTTCACTGATGTCATCCGGAATTGCATTTTTCTTTAAAATTTTACTTAAAGCTTCTAAACAGATACAGTCCACATGACTCGGATGGTGCATCTTAACTGAAGCATCTAAAGTTGAGACCACTTCATACTTTGTTTCGTACTTTGGATCTATGAGCTCCTCCTTTGTCAACATCAAGTCCAGATATTTCAGCTTATCTTTGTTGTCGATGTTAGATGCATGGAGCAATAAAAAACTAATGGGTGAAGCAAGATGGGAACCCATTTTAACAGGGCAGGAGATTACCTCCTTGCTCAAACCGTAATTTAATAAAAGCTCAAGACCTTCATACATATTCCTGTCGAGAAGGAGGCAAGGAAGACTCCTTGTGTGTGTCATGTCTGGCCTATTTGTTGAACATTTTTCTATTGTTTCCATTGGTGTATTGTTTATTATTAATTCTAAGCATTTTAAATTATCACAGTGAGCAGCTATGTGTAAAGCTAAGAGGCCACGGTTGTCTGTAAGAGACATGTCTACACCGTAATTAATCAGCCTTTCAATCACTTTAAAATTTTTGAATTGTACAGCTTCCATTAATAAAGTCCAACCGTCCTCAGATTGATAATTAATAATTTTCTCCGTAGTGCCAAAATGATTCAACAAAATGTCAAAAACTTCAATGTCATCAACAGCGCATGCAAATTGAAGAAGTGTCCTGTTATAATAATCATTCAAGTTAGTATTTGCACCAGCTTTGAGTAAAATTTTCACAGCTTCTGCGTTCGAATTTTCGACTGCGACAAAAATAGGCGTTTTCTGCGAAGCGATGTCTTTGACGTTTAAATCGGCTCCGGCGGAAATTAGACACCTGATGATGTCCAAGTTTTTCTTGGCGCATGCCACATGAAGCGGTGTGAACCCGTCAACGTTGCAGGCATTGATGCAGCATTTATGCGCGATTAACAGTTTCACCATATTTTCTGAGGAATTAGCACAGGCGATGTACAAAGGCGTTTCATCCTCGACAGTCTTGTGGTCGACGTAGGCACCTGCTTTGAGTAGAATCCTTGCGATTTGGGTGCAGTCATCGTCCTTGGCAGCCTCGTGCAGGGGTGTAAAACCACGGTTGTCAGGTGAATCCAAGGCGACCCCTCGGCTTATCAACCTTTTAACATCCTTTACGTTCTTACTTCTAACTGCTCGTGCCAGCCTCGATGCTGAATGGGGATTCCTCCAGTCAAAAAACACTCCAGACACCCTGCAAAAAAATTTAATCAGCTAATTATTTTCAAACGCAAATAATTCAGTCATCAGACTTCGCCATGTGGCCTGCTGTGTGAAGAACCTGTAATTTGGTCATTACCAATCATTCTGGACTGTCTATCCTTATGGTAGGTTGTATATACTCTTCTTGGGAAATGAGCATCTGACAGACCAAACCAGTGAGGATGGGCAGACCAAATTGATCATTAATGACCAACTTACAATTCAATCTTTAAAGCAAAATTACATGCAGGCCTTAGCATATACTTACAAGAAAATATAAATACAGTGGAGGTGCACAATAGACCAAATAATGGTCGCGGTGTGCATGTCATAAGAGGCCAACTCCTTTCCTAATCTCAATCTTAATTGGATTACAATCCATTTACAGATAGGATGTTGCACTGTACATAGGGCCTAGCCAGTCTCAGGGATGATCACAGCTTCATAAACAGCTGCTTCATCTAACATTCACATAGCAAGGTCTCGCCATCGGAGGTCACATACAATATACCCAGTCTCGTCGGAAAGAACCAAAGATCCATACCATCCCAGGTTGCATACACTGCATCGTCAGGTAGGACCTGGTCCGAGGTTTGCAACCTGAGAGTGTTCCCGTCTGAACCAGGGTATAAAACTGGGTACCAAATGCAGAGATCATGAGTCAGAATCTGAGTAGAGTGAGATAGATAGATCGACCTCAGTAGACTCAAATTGTTTCAAGAAGATCCAATACATCAATTCAAATTGTTTTCTTTTATAAAAACCTGCTAAGGTGTTCATCCTTAACTCATTCAACCATCCTTCAACTTTAACACAATATACTAATATTGGTCATGGCACACAGGTAGTAAAGAGGTCGACTTCTACTCTAATCTTAATTTTACAGGGGACACACTGGGGAACAACGTGAAGAAAGGCTTAAAGGTCTAATGAATTGATTTTTACATTTGTCCTCAGCTCTCGATGTCCACATGACTGATCTGTACTCCAACTTTAAATGTTTATACTCTTTCTACAGAAAGCAATACTTCCTTCTTCCTCTAGCAGATATGTTCCCATTCCCCACCCTACATATATGATCTCCTTACCTTCAGATCTTCTGTTCAGTCAAACTCATTCCCACCGTTCTGATGTCTATCCCCCAAACTACTGTGTTATGTCATTCCTTCCTCATCCATGCCTCTAACCTACGGAATTATCTTCCTCTCTCTATGCTGAGCCCCATCCCTTTCCACCATTAAATTCTATTTCTTTGATTAACTCTCCTTACAATTCCCTCCTCTAAAATTTCTAGCATTTTATAATTTCATTTTTTTCACATCCTACATTTATTTGTATAATTTAAACAACGTTTATAAATCTCAGGCCCGAAGATGATCTCAATAAAGATTGAAACGTTGGTATGATAAAGAAAACGTTTTTCTAAACCTACATCACACCAGACTGCATCTCACTATCTCCAAATAATCATCAACTAATGGTCACCAAACCACACACTCTTCTTACTTTGCACCAAAGATTTGTAATTGCCCAAATTTAATCTTTAATGTACGTACTTTTGTACAGCTTTATAAGGCTGGAATCTCTGTAAATATGTTGTATTTCTATTTAATTTTTTTTCCTTACATTTTTTATACTACAAGTAAAATTGATAATACGTGCAAATTTAAATTAAGCTAAAATAAAATTTGGCTCTTGAGTCCAAAGAATCACCCAGTGGTGACATTCTAGTAGGCTCTATATACTATGTCTCACTGCCCAACAGTTGGAGGCCATTGATGCTTTAATCTCCTTGGGTGATTATTGGGGATAGTTAGATTTAAAACTGAGGGATTGGGGTATAATGAAAGAGAGATGTAGAATTTTATGTATCAAGATTTTACATCCTTCACAAAAGGACTTTTAAGGTTGTTGTAGAAGGGAGCGTTTACTATTTTTCGGATGATTTTGGATTGGGAAATCTGGCTGCAATAATAGTTGGATTGTTGATTAAACCCCACAGTTCAATACCGTTTGTCCAAATTTGTTTAATTGTCATCTGGTTAATCTGTTGTTTGTTGTGAAGCATCAGTTTTGATAGTTTAAGTAGAAATTGTAAGAGTGTTTTGTAATTTCTAGTCAGTTCTGGTTTTTCAGTCTTGCATGTGGATTCCAAGTCAGCCTTTTGTCTGTCCACAGCGGATGTGGTTAACTGTAGGAAGGAATATATGAGGTATAGTGGTGGCATTATTACACTTTAGAGGGTAAAAGTTATATGGTGGCTTTTGCCTAAATATATTTTTATCCACCACTTTTTCAGCCAAGGTTCTAGGTTGATAAGGTAAGCCTGTAAAGAGCGATGTGAGATGATGGGACCTTTGTTGGAGGATAGGATAGCAGTATCATCCAAAAAAGTGTGAATGGATCGTCGGAATGAATATGGAGGCCAGTGTACATTGAATAAGGATACTACCCTGTGGGGCTCCAGTATTAGCCAAGAGGATTTTTACGTCCCAGAATAATTATTCGGAAATCGTGAGATGCAGTAAGTATTTCTACTCACTCAAAGTGTTTGTTTTCTGCGTACTTGTGCCATTCTTGCGTGTCGTGTTAAGAGTGCTAGTGAGATACTGCACTCTGGTAGAAATACTCTGATTGAATATAAAAAGTATTTTTTGCATTGTATAAATTCACTTTTTTCCACATCTTTATGTATTTATTAAATTTAAACAATGTTTGTAAATCCCAGACCCTGAAGATGATCTCAATAAAGATCGAAATGTTGGCACAGTAAAGAAAATGTTTTTCTGAAACCTACATCACACCAGACCACATCTCACAATTTCCAAATAATCATCAACTAACGGTCACTGATCACCAAACATTCCCAGAATAATGTTTAGTTTTCACTACTCTTTAGAGAATAGGTTGTTTTATACTTAATAAGCAACTGTGAAACCACAATTACAGTATATGGAGGCCCAAATTGAAATACCTTAGGTTGGCTGATTCCATTATACAACTTGGCACCAATCTATGAGTATGACGGTAAATTCATTGAGTTTTACCTCCGAGATGTGTACTAAAAATAGCAGCATACACATGGAGACCGGAAAGAGCAATGTACAAACTGTCTGCATACTATCTCTCAGAGCTTGATCAAACTGTCTTCGCAGAAGATTTGTCAACCATACACAAACAGAAGATAACGATGATGATGAGTACTTCGAACATGGAGAATTTAAAATCCTTCTTTATATGTTTCATAATGAAATCTGATTATTGAATTTTTTCATGGTTTAATATTTTCAAAGAAAAAATGGATGCTTTTTTCTAATAAGTGCCATACAAACAAGATATTTACCTCTCGTCCTGATCGTTCATTTTAGGACAATCCTCTACATCAAACCAAAAATCTTCAATAAAAACATGATATAAAATTAATAAAAACTTTTAAAAAACCAAATGAAGACGTTTAATTAGATTTAAACTGTAGGGGAGCAACATCCACCAACGTCTGTTGTTGTTTATTAGTAAGGGAGAAGGTTATTAAGCTTTTACATCTACTTGTGTTCTGATAAGAATTGTAAAAGCTTCATGTTATAAATCAAATAAATTTAACTTAATTATTCAAATAAACAGTGGTGAAGTGAATTTAATAATTATACGAATGAATAAAATGTCAGGGACTTATTATTTTGTTATAGTAGGGCATAAAGACAACCCTATATTTGAACTGGAGTTTCTCCCAGCTACAAAGGACACAAAGGTATTAAATTGTTTAAAATTGTAGTTTAATTTATGCACATTATATACCATATACCGGTAGAAATAAAAAAGTTAATGTCTGTTTTCTTTTGCATAATGATCTGTTTTTTCACAATCATCTAAACCAGCCTCCCAGGCTTGTGATTACTCGATTCTGATTGTCTTTTTGATTTGGTATTCGTTTAGAAAGAAGGGACGAGGCATTTGAATCAATTCATAGCCCACGCATCTCTGGACTTGGTCGACGAGTACCTCTGGAAGTCCAACAACCTCTACCTGAAGACGGTTGACAAGTTCAACGAGTGGCATGTTTCCGCTTTTGTAACGGCAAGCCGGATGCGGTTCATCATGGTGCACGACAACAACAAAAACGAAGACGGAATAAAGAATTTCTTCAATGAGATATATGAGCTCTTCATCAAGGTACGAAAAATTATATCAAAATTAAAATTTTAAGTGATTTTCTACTTTTTTTTTTCAGTACTCGCTGAATCCGTTTTACAAGATGAACACCCCGATCAAGAGTGCCAACTTTGAAAAGAAAGCATACAGCTACGGGAAGAAGTACCTGACATAGACAATCAAAAACAACTATAAAAACTGTATATAATTATTTATCATGTGCAATAATTATTTTAAAAGATAAAATCAATGTTTATTAAATTTATAATTACAATTTACAATTTAATAATAAAAACTGCCTATATTTAGCTTAGAGTTGGCATTAGACTTAAGATGAAGAATCAGGATAGACATCATCCATCCTGCCTACTCAAGACCCAAATTTTGACCTAACCCTTTAGGTCCCAACCATCAAATTTCCAAGAGATTCGTGCAATAGAATTCTGTGCACAAGAAATACTTAAAAAAGGATTAAAAGGTACATAACCTCCAGCTCCTAGGAAAACATATTTAACTAATTTTCATGTACGAGAACACCAGGGGCTTGAAGGAAACAGGGTGACTAATTAGCAAAGACAGGAGCAGCCATCCCACCAGAATATATTCACTGCACTATAACTATTTTTATTATAAATCTAATCTCAGCCATAATGCGGGTTTCTTAGCCAAGCCCAGGTTTCTGCATGGAAAGATCTAGAACCGGCAAGACCTGCATGTATAATGGAAGCTCTTCTACTTGGAGGCTACTCCCGTGGCACTGCAGCATGTACACAGGGTTGTTTGTTTGTTTGAATGAGTGAGAGGGCTGATGGCGGAATTTTTAATCCTCATCAGCTCTCATAGTTCATTGTTGGCTAATATAACCCGATTTTTCTTAACCTGAAGACATTGGTTACCAGTGATCCATAAGAACGGGGAAAAAATCTGTCTATTCAATTTATACTTGGAGCTGTGAACAACTATGTCACTCCAGTGCAAATACATGCAATTTTTAGGCAAAATAAATCTCCACAAGCATTCTTAAATAGTTAATAATTCTTTTACCCTCTCTTCATGCTAATATATTAACTCATGAAGACACAACAAATACTACATACAAGTTGACCCAAACTTCATTTTAATCAGGGAACTAAGGAACTCACCACAGTGCTCAAGAACGAGATTTTTTTATTGGATGAACCTTAAGTTTGGATGCTTCTGATCATTTTGGTCTGCTTATCATTGCTGTTTTGGTCTGTCAGACAAACCAAAATGATTAGAAATGTCCAAACTACATCTAAATCTATATGACGCCATTCATTATTGCATGTAAACCGACCTACATATTGCTTTGACTTAAAAGTTGTCTATAATTGAACCATGTATGACTTATTCTGACTAGGTAAGAAAGATCCATCAAGAGCTTCACTGATCTGGCCAAACTACACGATCACCTTTATCAGATTTTTTATTGAGATTTTAGCTTTAGTAGGATATAATGCAAATCCTTGTTTTCACCGCGTTCATTTATATATANAAGTTTTATAACTAGTATTTTAAATATTTATAGTTATATATTATCTAATTAATAATACAGAGACATGTTACACATTGTATTGACAAGCCAAGAATTTTTTAGTTGTTTTGTTGTTTAGTAATCTATTTACCTGATCTTGTATGGGCCTAGAAATCAAAATGGCTTAAGTTTTGCTACAGATAGCATTAGTTTTTTGTGTAGTTCTCTTCTGCGAGTCTCTCCAAGATCTCAACAAATCCGTACTTCCCATCCAAATTGTTGTCCAGATAACTGACTCAATAGCCTTTGGAAGTGGTTTGGAGGCATTGAAGCTATCCTCACTACATAATTGATATACAGGTGTAGTGTATACTTAAAGAAAGTGTCCTACTCCTCCAGATGGAGCAAATATCTGGGCAGATAGAGTAGCCTATTAATAATCATATTTTGTATATCTAATATAGCCTCATACCCCTCGAACCCCCCAAACTTGTGTGCCATAGATTGTCACTTTTTCCTTTAAAGGTATGTTCCTGTCTCCAAAGGCCCTGCTTCATACTAAGTGTAAACTTTGCCATTTCTATCTTTCTCTTTACATCTCTTCACCCAAAAATTGCTATTATTTTACTATATCAACACGGCTAGCTCAAACATCCATTCTCCTACAGCTGCTTGTCAGCTCCCCTTCTGGAAAATATTTTCTTACAGTATTGCTCAAGTAGGTATGTAAATGACTCAGATTTTTGGACACAAGCACAGATCATCTGTATACATTAGCATTTTAATATTATTGTTTCCAATCTTCACTCCACATTGCAACTCTTCCTTTAATTCATAGACATATATTATAAAGGTGCTCTTTCTGATGTCGTTCATGTGGGTGTTCTCAGGGCTTGCATCTTTGATCTTCTTCAATGATGTTACTAGGGTTGTTAAGAATTGTAATTTAGTGATGCTTCTGATGATTTAAAGATGTTTAAGAAGGTGGATTGTGAAAGCAATTGTATCTCCTTCAAGTGGACCTGACTGCATTTGAGAAATGGTGCTGGTTAAACAGACAGTACTAATGAAAAGTGTAAATTTATCAGCTTCTCCAAGCATAAGGCTACAAATGCCAATAATATTAACTTTCACTATACAGTCCATGGAGATATTACTGAGGAAGTCAGCAAAATTTCAGTGTTATGTTCTACTCCAAATTTAATTTTCAAAACCACTTTGAAGCCATAATGAAAAAAGTTGCCATTTGGAGTATGGCAGTGCTGTTTGGTTTCCTGTCAATCCATATGATATGGATAGACTTGAGAGATTGCAATGTAAAGTGGTTCAAATCTGACTGTTTCACATGCAAGATTTGCCTTACTACGATAAACTTAAAGTTGTTGGGCTGGATACTGTAAACCTGCTTAGAGTTGCTGGCTCGCTCATTTTTTGTTGGAATGTTTTTTATAGTGTAATGTAATTGATACTTCTAGAGTGGTCTTTCATTTGAAAGTTCCAAATCGGAACTTAACAAACTTTGACCTCTTTCATGTGCCTTTTCATAGAACTAGTTATGGGTCTTTTGCTTGAATTCCTCGCCTAGCTTGGCTTTTCAGTGACTCAGATATTCGCGATCCCTTCTTTCACAGTCACAATGTGTATAAACGATTAATTTATTGTTATTTAACTCATTCAGTAGACCAAGTTGGCCATCAATATACATTGTCTATAATTACATTAAATGTTAATTTACTTTTATCTAGGTTTTAAATTCAATTTTAATTTTTTACTTTCTATGTTGTAATGACTGTCCTTGTTTGGGAATGTATACTGTCTGGACTTTGTACAAATAAATAAATGTATAGGAAGTACAGAAACGGACTCAATGAGCAGCCCTGCTTTACTCTGCGCTCACGTCCATCTTTTGGCATGAGTATCATCAAGAAAATTTGTACATAATTTGTAATTAATTTTAGATTGTATTTAAATAGATTATAATTATTTAATTAATTAATATTGTTACATATCAATTTTATTAAATAAAAAAAAGTCTGGGCTTCAAGATAGTACGTTATGCAGAAAATCGGTTTTTAACAGGGTTTCTGGTTTATCTTCGGGCAGCGCCATCTTCTGGCGTGGCGTCGCACAGTTTCGTTGTGTTATCATGATTCGTTCTTGCATAAAGGCAAAAAAGAAAAAAAAAAAGACAATCGTAAATGAAATAATCGGCTGGACGGGCCCGGGACCTTGGGATGGTCTCTTGTCGTTCAGTCGTGCACCGGCCCTGTTCCAGGCATGTCAGTCGTCTACCGAAAGACCGTCCAGCTCGCGGATAAGCTCGTACCACAGAAATTCCAGCCAGCCTGGAACCACGAGGCAGGTGGGTGAACGAGCTTATGTCCTGGGGTAATAATCAAGCACGCGGCTTAAAAAGCCCGGACTGCTTTCAACAGGTGGTTCTTTGTTGGCCATCCAGCACATTTGACATTTGGTTTTTTCCCCTTTTGATTATATCATGACAAAGCAATTTTCACACAGTACGAAATTTACTGATAAACTATGCAATATTTAATAATTATATGTATGTTACTTACAGCCAAAAACCTGCAAAATTTTTCAGTATTTGACAGTCTTGCAATATAAAAATAAATTTATAGGGTTTTAAATATACTGGATACATATTATAGACAACATAGCTACTGTTAAAAAAAGGAAGCAATTATTATTCATTATTTCATTGTTTTAATAGAAACAATGCCTGGCATGACCTTGGGTTGTATTTCTTGTAAAAACATGCATAACGTAAATAATTTTTTTTAAATTAAAAAAAAATTAATTTAAAGCCATTTCAGTTTTTTAGTCCAAGACACCCAATGTATTTGGACGTTAAGCCCTCCTGTATTGATAGGAATTGCTTTACTTGTTTTCTCTTTAGTTCTTTTATAACATGTTGAAAGATTAAAAAAATACATTCTTGAAGCACAATGTGCTTAATCAAACCATCGGCTAATTGAGTATTTACAATATAGATATATCAGTTATGCAACTGTTGTTTGACGTTTGTAATACTTTTCTTTCTATCTCTCAAATCTATTTCCTAGTTTTTAAAAACAGCTTAGACTTTTAATTTTTTGTTTTGGAATTAATCATGCAGATAACAAGAAAAATGTTGCTGTTATTATTAATTAATGGATTTTTTTTGAGGTTTGGAACAAACAGATTCATCAGATTTATTTTCAGAGAAACACTTAATTAAACATCAAGTTAATATTACTATCAGCAATTAGGTTGTAGTTAACTATTTGAAAAATATATTAATTTTTTATAAATGCTGGGCCTGGCAGCATGGTGTGTTTCTGCCCTCGCCAGGCAGGATGTATGACTCCTGGTGCTCACTGAGCTGTGGAGCCCTTAACAATATCGGTGGTGGATTATCTGACTGGTATGAGTGATGAGGTGAGCCCATGGAATTCAGGAGCTGCGATCCTATACACTGAGAGGCAAAAAAAGTGGCCACCCTTAATATTTTTAATTATCTCTTATACAATCCTCCATTACAACAATATTTGTTCCGTTTTAAAGAATTAGAGGTAAATAAAATAAAGATAAAATCTCCCAATTGTGTTTACAATTGGTTTTTGTAAATAATTCTTTGAATAGTCAATCTCTCTTTGTTGGTTTTTCTGTAAAGCTTCTTTTGAAAGTTCAGGTAGGTTGGCTTTTTTTTAAGTTGTACCGTTTTAAAGTTTCAAATGTGATGTTAAGTGATGCAGATTCGGCTAGAATCATAACATTGTTGGAAGATAGAAGAAGTCAGGTGTATGTGGCCAGGACAATTAACATTCCCAGGACAACTGTCCGAAGGGTCTTTCATAGCTACCAAGATACTAGAGGTTATTCAAGAAGCGTGGATCAGGTCACCTTGAAAAGATGATTGTTTTATTGTTTCAAATGTACTCCATAGTAACAGAGATAAAGTAACAGCTTCAGTAAGTTAGAAGTGATTGTAAGTTCACGCAATGTAAGGTGAAGAAGCTGGATTATGCGAGAGAAGGCCTGCCACTGATCCAGCACTTCTGACAAAGCACAGAACATCTTGGTTAAGTTTCGCAAGAATCATATCAATTGGTATGAATAAGATTGGGCTAAAAACTTGTTTTTGGATGAGTCAGTGTTTTGTTTGAGGTCTTATGACAGCCGAGAGAGGGTGATGTATCCCCACATTTTCACTCCATTCAATTTCGGTTTCAATTCAAATTTTTGGAGAATTTGGAGTGGCCAGGATATATTCCTGACTTAAACTCTATCGGACACCTTTGAGACTTGTTGAAGAGGGTAAAACGTCCCCAGTGATGCTAGAGAATACTTTGTTCTGAATTAAATATTTCTTCATTGATTCTGAAACATTTTTGGTAACATTGCTTTCCTCAGTTTAATTGTTTACTTAATTTTTTTTTATTTAGCTATGTAATATTTTTCTTGAATTGTTTTTTCTTTCTTGAATTATTGAAAAAATAAAAATTATAACATTTGCAAGTATTTATTAAAAAAAAAAAATTGCTTCTTTGTAGATACATAATTCAGGACAACATAGCTACTGTTAAAAAATAAAACTATTATTTTTAATGATTTCATTGTTTTAATAGAAACGACGACTAGCATGACCTCGGGTTGTATTTCTTGTTAAAATATGCGCGCAGATAATTTTTTTAAATCTTGAGCTGTTTCAGTTTAAGTTCTTTTAAAATGTGCTGAAAAAATAAAGTCTTGAAGTAAAATCTGCACAATTAAACCATTGACTATTTACAGTATAGTAGATCAGTTATGTAACTGTTGTAATGTATTTCTCTCTCTCTCTCTCTCTCTCTCTCTCTCTCCCTCCCTCTCCCTGTAATCTATTCCCTAGTTTTTAAAACAGCATGGATCTCTAAGTTTATGTTTTGCAATTAATCATGCAGATAACAAGAAAAATGTTATTAATTTTTTTTTTTTGAGGTTTAATTTTTTTAAAATCATTTCCTCCAGTGCAACCTATCTTGCAACCCTTGTAAAGTATAGCCATACATTGGAAAGTACACTTTTTCCTATAAGTCTTTAGAATTTTTCTCGGTGCCTATTTGCACGCTTCTTTTGGTGTGAAAATTGCCTTACTGAAGTGGCTGTATTGTAACCAGGCTAATAGTTAATATTTACAATGGACATGTGCCGATGTCTCTGGTTCCTACTCGGATTCTGTCTCTGCTTTGCTCATCATCATTAGGTGATTGTTATGAGGTCAATAACCGGTATAGAGGCTTATAATTTTACTCAAATCTTGCCTGCTGAGAGGATTTTTTTTAGAATATAAATTTATTAGCTTGCTATTTACCTGGGGCTTGAGTTTTTCTTTCTTAACCATTTTTCCACTTCCAAATAGTAATTTCTGTCATACAGGAGGGCTTTTAAAGTCCAACTACAAAATGGGGGGGTCATGGATGAGGGGTCAAACTTCTTTATAATTCATACTATAATCAATTAAAAAGTCATGGGCTCAGTCTGCTTGGTTTCAAATTCACAACAGATGCCCTAATCATTTGGCCACCATGTTCCTGATTGTTAAAACATCATGCACACTTTTTTTTAAATACATTTTTTTATCCTTCATTTCCAAATATGTACAAGTTTATTATTCAAATAATAAACTTAATTATAAAGCAACCAATGTGGCAATTTTACACAAAATGCTGTTTCCGAGAAATTCTTGTAGTGAATCGTTACAATATTTTCTGGTTTACTGAACAACACAAACAAATTAAACAAGCCTGGCTTTCCAATTTTTGGCGGTCATTAAAATTAATGTGAAGGTCTATTTGTGAAAAATAGTTTTCACTTGTTTCATCGTCAATCTTTGTATAAAAATAGTCATTAAGCTGCATAAATATTCATTAAGAAAGAAAATTAATTGGATTTCCAATTTTATGTCTAGGTTCAACAGACGGTTTTCTCCATAAAAAAAGTGTTAACGAATCATTTATAATTTGAATTTCTTGGGTTTCTTTTCAGGAACTAGACAACCATCAAACACATTTTCTTTTCAATAAAATTGTTAATGAAAATAAGTTTGATGGTTGTCTAGTTCCTAAAAAGAAACCCAAGAAATTTATAATTTAATGTTCATGTTAATGTTTGAACTATTTCCTTTGAAAATCAATTTAATATATAAGGATATTGGTTTGTTTTATATTGAAAGAATTTATTTTTTTATTAAGCAATCTCTTAGAATAAAACTGAATGGGGGGAACAATATAAATACTGTTGTGAAAAAAACAAACCCTGAGATGAAAAAGAGCTTAGTTGTTGCATAAGCAGCTCGGATACAAAACAGATTTAAAAAAAAAATCAGAAATGTTCTTGAAGAACAAGAGAAACTGGTTTTTCAGTATTGCAACTTGTAAACAATCAGGTGGTTTTCTTTAAACAACTTTAAACCTGTAATGTTGAATTTTGTTATAGTAAAAGATTTTCAATTTAATTTTAATTTTATTATTTAAAAATTCAGAAATGTTATATAACTTGGTCTGTAAAGTTATGTAAGGGTAAAGCATAATTTGTTAAGTTTATGTTTTACTTCATTTAAATAACTAGAATTTTTTTAAACACATTGGTCAATATATACATATTAACGAAAATTGTTTCAGTTTTTTTTCAGCCAGCCTTGAATAAACAGATAAATAGTTTGTTTGGTGAATTACAGTTTACTGGCAGATTAAAAACTTAACTTGCTAAGCTTAATTTGTACTTTTGGAATAAGTAGATTGATTGGAGAAGAAAATGAAAGCTGAAAGCAGAATTACCACCTGTAGCCTGCTTTTGTTCTTTAAATTATGAATTATCCAATTATGGACAATCGAGAGACGGTTCTTGGAATTAGATTAGAATTGTAATTGTAATATTTACAAAATGTTTATCAATTTTGCAAATTTGAAACGTTTGACAGTTAAGTGTTGGTTATGCAATATTAATTATACTCATGGTTTATTTGATTTGAATAGATAAAAAAATTGTATTAACAACTTAAAAATTTTCTGTCAAATTTTTATATTTAAACAATTTCTTTTATTCTGTTCAAACAGCTATCTCAATTAAAATATTTAAATTATAAGCAAATCAAGAAAAGGAGTTACATAACATATTTTTATTAGCTACCTATTTTAATTTGCAATATTTGAAGAGATACAAGTGTTAAATGAAAATGTAATGAAATTATTAACTACACTGTTGTGTAACTGTTTTTTGCACAAGAAATATTGAATGTGTGTGTGTGAAAGAGAGAAGAAAAAGTGAGAAAGAGGGAGAGCACAGAAAAAAAGGAAAAAGGATGTAGGAAAGAGAGAAAATGAGGGAGAGTACGGAAAAAAATGGAAGAGAGGAGAGATGAAAGAGAGAGAGAGAGTGAGAGAGAGAGAGAGAGAAGAGGAAAGAGAAAGAGGGAGATAGGAAAGAGAGAAATAGATGAGAGAGAGAGAGAGAGAGAGAGAGAGAGAGAAAAGTATACATTACAACCGTCAAACAACTGTTGCATAACTGAACTACTATACTGTAAATAGTCAATGGTTTAATTATGCAGATTTTACTACAAGACTTTATTTTTTCAGCATATTTTAAAAGAACTTAAACTGAAACAGCTCAAGATTAAAAAAAATTATCTGCGCGCATATTTTAACAAGAAATACAACCCGAGGTCATGCTAGTCGTCGTTTCTATTAAAACAATGAAATCATTAAAAATAATAGTTTTCTTTTTTAACAGTAGCTATGTTGTCCTGAATTATATACAAAGAAGCATTTTTTTTTAAATTAAATACTTGCAAATGTTATAATTTTTATTTTTTCAATAATTCAAGAAAGAAAAAAACAATTCAAGAAAAATATTACATAGCTAAATAAAAAAAATTAAGTAAACAATTAAACTGAGTAAAACAATGTTACCAAAAATGTTACAGAATCAAGAAGAAAATATTTAATTCAGAACAAAGTATTCTCTAGCATCACTTAGAGAATATTAAAGATTGATATCAATCCTATCAAGATTATTTCTCTTTTTTGTAATGAAGTATGATTTAATTCATGTATATATTGTTAACAGGTCCTAAAACTGTGTTTTTCTGGGCTCCAGCTATAAAATGGGTAAATTATTTAAATTTCTCTCTAAAAATTACATTACATTTTAATCAGGCTTCTTTCATTTGATTATGATCAAAAGCCTTACAAGTGTGATGCATCGTTTAATAAGGGTAACTTTTCTAGGGCTTGGTCATCGCCGGGCTGAGCGATCTTTCAAGGCCGGCTGACAAAATAAGCCTCCCTCAGTCTGGAGCGCTGGCAGCTACTGGCATCATCTGGTCACGTTACTCATTGGTCATTATACCGAAGAACTGGGGTCTGTTCAGCGTCAACTTGTTCGTCGCTATCACTGGACTCTACCAGTGCTCCAGGGCATACAGGTATATCCTTTATAAAAAAAAGTCAATTTTTTAAAATTAAATGGGAATGAACATCTTCCATTCTTAAATCTCTTGGGTGTTTCAAGCTGAGATCAATTACCAATGTAAAACCTGTAAAGATACCCTGAGTGTTTTTCTTCCTTTAATGTAATAATTCTGTTGTAATTGTTTTACCCATTATAATATATTTTATATATCTTAACTCTTTTTTTTTTTTTTTTCAGATATCAGGCCAAGCAGAAAGCATTACAACAATCGTTTTAAAAACAAAGGAACTATGCAATAAGCCTACAATCACAATGAGATTTATATTTGTTGAAAAGATATTTATTTTCTTGTTATGTTACTCACGTGCAATGATTTAAATGTAAACTTTATATTTTTTGTAAAGTCAGTTTTATTGTTTTACAAATAAATTATGCAAAAATTGATTGTCTGGGTTTATTTAAAGGATTTGATATAATAAAGTCTATCTGATTTATTTTTTGTCTTATAAAGCTTATAAATATTACTGTTTAAATGTTTGTTTGATTGATAAATTGTATTTTAAAATGTCCATGATAAGTAATTTTTTTTAAAATTATTGTCCTTGTTCACTGTTAAAAATGTATTATTAATTAGGTTAACACATGCTTTTCATAGACATATGATAACACACTAGACATGCGATAAAATAATTTTAAAAAATATAAAAAAACACCAAGAAAATTACAAGTTTCTGCAGGGCGAGGGTGAGATACACGGGGGATGAAGGGATGTTGCCCATTTTGACGAAGATCTATGTAAGGTTAATCAAATTCATCGACCCGTGGGTACCGAATCAGTTCCAGCCTTTGTGGAACCACCCAGCAGGTAATTGAAACGTACCGCATATTCGGGATTCTTTCATATTTTCAACGGTTTTCAACACAGCTGTTGTATGTATTGCCTGTTAAAAATCGTTTATGTTAAACAACGCGTATATTACAACCTGTCTGCTTATTCTTGCTGATTTGGCTTGTCCGATGTGTTTCACCATTCAACCACTTCAGTGGCAGGTCTGAGTGGTATGCTGTCCATTGACCTACCAATGAAGATTGAAATGGGCTGAAATAGATAAAGACCAGAATGATCAAAGATGATCATCATGTTTGGTTATTCTTGATTCTTGCTGATTTGGCCTGTCAGATGGGTTTCAGCATTCAACCATCTTCAGTGATGAATCTGAGTGGTATTTTGTTAATCATCCCTCCAGAAAGATATCAAAGTGCTGAAATAGACCAAACCAGTAAGTATAAGACCAGAATGATCAAAGATGATCATCATGTTTGGTTATTCTTGATTCTTGCTGATTGGCCTGTCAGATGGGTTTTAGCATTCAACCATCTTCAGTGATGGATCTGAGTGGTATTTTGTCAATCATCCCTATATAAAGATATCAAAGTCCTGAAATAGACCAAACCAGAAATATTAAGGACCAATTGATCACAGATTATCTTGGTTGCTTATTCTTGCTGATTTGGCCTGTAAGATGAGTTGCAATATTCAACCATCTTCAATGGTGGGTCTGAGTAGTTTGTCAATTGACCTACTAAAGAAGGTTGAAAAGTGCTGAAATAGACAAACCAGATCAAACTACAGATTTATTACTTGCAGACTTCAAGATATCTCACAAAAAAATTTCATACTGAAGTAAGTACTGTTTCAGGGCCGAAGACTGTATTTTTCTGGGCGCCGATATGCAAGTCTGTGAGTCTTTCAATATAGAAACTGAGTTAAAATTTATTTTATAATTCACTAATTTCGTGGTCCGCTTGACCAATTAAATCATTACAATTAATTAAGGTTTTCAGTTGAGATAAAAAAAAGTTAATGGCACGAGCGTGATTCGAACCCACGATCTTCGGCTAGATACGCCGCTGCTCTACCACTTGAGCTATCGTGACCTCGATCCACTCGGACATCAACTTCCTATCTCAACCCCTCATTTATTTTATAACTTTTGTTATCTTCAAGACACTTGTTCTTGCCGGTCTCGGGGACCTCATGAGGCCGCCGGACAAGATAAGCCTCTCCCAGACAGGGTCGGTAGGCCTGACTGGTTTGATCTGGGCGAGGTGGTCCGTTGTCATAATTCCGAAGAACGTGTTTATGTGCTTTGTGAACCTATCAATATCGGCACTCCAGGGGTACCAGTTTACCAGAGCATATCTGTAAGACAAAGTAGCTTTTGCCAATAACGCATTTCTAAATCTAATATGCTTTCAGGTACCAACAACGTCTCTTGCAGAACCAACAAATTGACAGTAAAAAAAAATAAAAAAATATTAAAATAAATGCTTAAACTTTTGTAATTTTGTTGTTAATTACAAGATTGTAAAATAATTTATTTTCTAAGCTTTCAGTGATCATCAGGCTTGATGTAATGTCAGTATGCTTCCTGCAAATACAAATTCAACTTATAAACAGTTAATAATAAATTATTAGGAAAAGAAAAAAAAAGGTAATGTTTTAATCAATTTTTATTCATACTATTCAATCAATACAATACGTTTCACATAACAGAACTTCATAGTACAAAAGTCCACATTATCAACTGCAGCCTTCTGCCATCGATGTCAGCTGCTTTTTGTTCACTTTATTTTATTTATTTTTTTGTTACGCATAGTCTTAGTGCCATTGATACTATAATGTACACACAATTATATTAACTAGAATATAATTTCTGCCTATTCATATTTTGAATAATTAATAACCATGGTAATAAACAGGGACATTTTGACACAACTAAACATGTTTAATTCTTTGATAATCTAAAAGGTGCTTCTTTTTTCATTTTGTTTTGTTTAAATTGCAATGAATACAAATAAATTAATTTGTCAATTCCATTTTTTTTTTTTATTACATCTATGCAGTTTTTAACAATGATATGACCAACTAATTTTATACCTTTTTTTTTATCTTTTCAATATTATAATAATATATATTGCTTTTCTCCCTTTTTTGTTGAAAATAATATAATACAATAATCAGTTATGCTTATAGTATTAGTAAATATAAGAAGAAAGGCAAGAAAAGGAAAAAACCTACGTTTTCTTGCCAATGCACATCAAATACACACAACATCACGATCATTCATTTGGATATATTTTATTTTTTTTATCATATATATATATTTCCCTTTTTTTTGTTAAAATTACTTATAGCATGAAATTACACATACGGTATAACAATAATGTAATAAACTATTTCAACCATAACAAGGGTTGCGGTTACAGGAAGCGATTTCCTACAAAATCGAGTGAATATTCTACAAATTGAAAATATCCATTATTGTCTTATTTCTTTAACTGGATAGAAATGTTATTTTAGCCCCATCCCCCAACCAACTGAATAGAATGAAAAATCACAGTTCTACTATTAACCTACAGACTTTAGATCACCAAATCACAAAAACGACGCCAAAAAAAGCAGAAATCAATCGGATTTTTAAAGGGCCTATTGGATAAAAAACAAAATTACCACTTATTAATATTTTTGTTATTTATATATTGTTATTATACCTTACTTCAGTGAAAAAACATTTCCACATAGAATGTTTTACATTAAAATAATAAAAATCATTCAAACGATGATTAACTGAAGATTTTTTTCAAACAAATAAAGTGCATTTTTGTATAATTATCTTAAAATGCAACATTGGTTCATTTGTGAACAAGAGATGCAATTCGTATGAGGTCATCCAAATCACCAATTCTGTCAATTTTTTTTTTTTTAATTTTTGTCTGACATATTTACACATCCAAAGCTTTGATAAGGCAACATTTTAAACAAGACGAAGCTTTAAACAAAGCATATGCATTAAAAAAATGGATGATGGTTATAATAAAAAACTGATAAACTGTCGTCCTTCAAATTTTCCTTGATTGATAAGAATTTTTTTTTTGTAAATAGTTTTCAGAAGAAGCGACAAATTCAACTGAAAGTTCATAAATATAAAGAAAATATTTTTTTATGTTTATACAATTAATTAAATTTATACAATGACTAGTTTTATGTATATATTTATATATAATTTAACAGTAACATTGCTATATATAATAAAAGGGGCACTTTTTTAAATATATTTCAAATGTATATATTTAAAACAGGACAGCACACAATATACACACAGAGTAAATATTAGTTATAAATGCTACAAGTGTGAGGGGATTTGGAAAAACGAGTAATAATTTTTGTCTTTGAATCTAAATCTGCAAGCCAGACCCAAACAAGTTGAAGCGGATGATTTTTTTCCTGTTTGGGCCATGGGTGAAATGGAATGGTCAGGAGAGTAATGATCAAGTTTGATATAATCCTCTTTCGATTTTTTATTTGAGATCGCTCAACTCTTCGAGCAAGTCGATGTTGTCTTCGACCTTCTCAGTGTCGCCGACCAGCTCATAGTCTTGCAGTTCCGCTTCCAACTCTCGTTCCCAATCTTCTTCTGAAGAAAATATCCAAGGTGTCAGAAGGGACAAAGGTCAGATAGTAGGGTGTCATTAAACAAAACAAACAAAAAGAAAGAAAAAACAAAAATGTTCTTGTTTTCAAATGCTATAGAAACAAAAATAAATAAAAATGGAAGAGGTAAGGAGATAGGACGCATGCTCAAGACATTACCTGTAATGATGTCCCTTATGTCAAGAAAGTGATTTTCATTTTTTTAAAATATTTTTTTATTTTTATTTGTTAAATTCAAGAATGAAAACAAAAAGAATGCATGCATGAGTGTGCGTTATTTGGCTGTCAAGAGGTCAGGTGAGTCCGGATGTCAGGAGCAAGGGAAGGGTCGGGTGTCTCGTGGCTCCGCAGCGTCTGCTCTCCGATTTAAGCTGCACACACAAGACAAAAAAAATGCCGTTGTCAAAAAAACCGCTCTCCACTGAATTTTGAGAGGCATGCTCTTTCAAAATTTTCAACACAAAACTTATTCTCTTTTTAAAATCAAAACCTGCCTAAATCTATATGTTTATATAAATACAAGTCAGGAATGTTAGGTGATTCTTTTAATCCTATTTCAGTTTTCATCTTACCAAGCATTGTTAGTAGGAAAACAGCTAAAAGGATGGAGCGTAGCGCCTATCGCCTTACCTTCACTACTTTTTTTTTGTTAAACTATTCAGAAAGAAGTATAGCACATGCTGCTATTCAATCAATTGTGCATTAAATATGAAAATCTCTTTTTAATCAAAAGCTTTCTTATCTTCAATGTAACAACAGTGCAATGATAAAAAGTATGCAAGTATCAATCAAAAACATGCATTTGTTGAAAATATAACAAATTTTTTTTCGTTAGCCAGCTGGTTAACGAAGCCATTTATTATATCTTTTCCACTTTACGTTTTGATAATAGCAGAGATTAGGACTACTAGGAGGATAGGTGATCTTTACTTCCTATGGAAATTGTGAGGCATTGTTGTCTCGCATGAAATATTTAGCTCTTCCACACCTTTAAAGCAGAACACATTCATATTTATATTTACATACTCTAAGTTTGGTGGTAGTCTATATTCAACTGAGATCCCACCCTTATTCACGCTAATAAATCGATTCATATAAAAATAAAAACCTTTTGAACAGTATGAAAAAGAAATGGTGAGTCACTGAGGGTAGGTATTATGTTTGTGTCTTGCCCTCAATCACTTTACAAACATATAACAACTAACTTACTTCTGTGGGTCTATGCGGAACTATATATTCCACTACAAACCCACCAACACTGTATACTCAAATACTCACACTAATAAATACATTCATACAAAAAGGGTAACCATTCAAATAATACATACAATTAAAAGAAATCGTGCTTCACCATCAATCAATCTATAAACATAACAATCAACATACTTTCACGGGGAACCCTATATTCCATCACAACCCCCCCCCATGCATCAAAACACTCAAGCTAATAAGTACATTCAGTCAACAATGGATAACCAGACATGAAAGAGCCTTCAAATGCGAGCCTCTATGCAATCACAGCTGTCTCAAAAGTTTTTGAAACTTGAGGATAGGCCACACTTTGTGCTTTTCAACAGTAACTTATCACACACTAATAGAATATGTCTATCAGTTTCTTCTATATGTACAGGGGGCATCTCGATGGCCATTTGTTAATGAGGAAATGACCATGTTCCAGCTTGGTGTCGCCTATTTGCAATTGAGTATTGTGAATGTTATATTTTATTTCCCTGAATCTAATAATCTTTCTTTCAATAGAAAATTATTAGAAAGATATAAACTTAAAGAGTTAAAATTAAAAATTATGGAACAATGGACATTCAGGAATTGCTCTAACACATACAAATATAATTAAATTGTATACATAAATACATGTGTAATATGATGTGACTGTAGATAAGAAAACTTACTGACTTTCGATATTTAAATAAATATACTTTTTGTCTTAAAAAAAAGAAACTGTTTATGCACTTAAAAAAAGATAAAATAAAAACTAATATAAAAAAATTGCTAAACTTTACGACTTAAAAACAAGCAGTGGAGGAAAAACCAAAATTTAGAGTTTTTTGCATGTTTAAATAATACAGTTGGTGCATTTGTAATTATTGGTTGGAACTTTTTAAAAAATATGATAATACAAATAAATGCTTGTAATGTCTGAAGGAAATCGAGGCGAGATAAAAAGATGTACCTGTGAGGTTGGCGTCGATGCCGAGCTTCTTCATCCCCTCATTCACTTCGGCCAGATCGGCTGCCGAGCTTGCGGCAAACGTGTCCGAGACAAACTCCTGTGGGCTGTCGTCCTTTAAGCGTCCTCTGCTCATACCGTCAGGCTGATCGCCGCTTCCCCACCCTTCCATACAACCCAAGCATCAGTCACCCACACTCGGCAGACATCGCTCATCAGAAAAGTTCAGGAAAGGGCTGTGAGGGGTATTTCAATGATCTTTTGGATACTGGGGTATGATTTTGTAAGTTTTTTTTTTTTAAATAGCTGCTAGGTTATTGTTTCCTTCATGAAATGTGTAGTACTAAAGAGCGATTAATATTTAAAAAAATAAATGAAATGATGAGTAAAATTTAAAATGATGTGAGATCTTTGTCATATCTTTGCAGCATTTCTAGCCAAAGAAATACACAAAAAAATGTTAATTTTTAAATCAACGAACTTCAGCAATAGCTATTTATGATTTTTTTTTAATAAGATTTTTTTTACAGTTGTAATGGGATAACAATTAAGGACTGTGTGCAGTTATTTTGCAGATGGTAAAACAAAACAAAACTGAAAAAATGTAATCAACGATAGATGAAAAGAAAATTTATGTGTTTTCATGCTTCGCCTTGTTACTTTATAATAAAACTTACCTGGTGGGAAAAGCCGTTGATTTGACTTTGCATGTGCTCTTATGACAACCATGCAACGACATTGAAACTACACTACTTCAACATTGTTTTGGCTTCTTACTGTTAGTGTCTCGATAAGGAGGGTCAGAGAAGGCTCTTTTGGATGTACAAAAGCTTATTCAGTTTGTAAAATAATTTGGCAATAATAAAACGAAACAAAAAATGCAATAATCTGAGAGCCAGATAACACAGGAGAATATAAAGACGTATTTCATTCTATGCTCTTATCTTTATTTTCTCCCATTGCCTGGCGATATTCAATGCAAAAATTGAAAAAACAAAAAATTACTGTTTAAATTACTTTACCGTCCTGATAAACTTAAGCTTGTAATGCCTCCAAAGTATAATTTAAAAAAATGTAATGAAATCTATGACAAATTGTCCATTTTTAAGTTTTGATGAAAGGAGTGTGAAGTTGAATCGACGCGTAAAGAAATTTAAATAGTTTTTTGCGCTTAAGAAGCAGATGGATTAAAAAAAAAAAGGTTTTGCCTCACCTGGAGGCTGGACTTCAACGCTTCCTGTCCTTTCGGCTGAAGCTTCTGACTTTTCCTGCGCCATCGATGAGACTTCGTTAGCCTGGCAGATCAAACTGACTCTATAGAGGTAGTTACGCCAGAAATTCTCCTCGCTTATACTACAAGGTAAAAAAAGGGATTAATACTGCATACAATGTTTCAAACCTCGGCTCAAAAAACGTACACTTTTGGTACGAGCTCGAATCGCATTTTCTCAAGATTTGGATCTTCGGCGAGTATTGCCTCGCAGACAGGGAACTGTGATTCATAATCGAATGTGAAGTCGACACCTTCAGGTGGTGCCCGGACAAAGTTTCTTCTATCCTGTAATTTAAAACAAAGTAATAATTATCTAATCAATTTTATCATTTAAGAAAAAAATGTTAATAATTAATGACAAAACATCAAAATCCTAATTTTTATTTCTTGATTTTTTTTTTTTTTTTTTAACTTTCACGTTACTACTTTTCATCTTGAATTCTGAAACCGCTTCAATTGTACAACAGTTACAATGAGACCCTGGCACAGAGCTTAATTTGGTTGATTGCTTTTTGGCTTGCAAACCTCACTATGATCTTCTACAATCTCTTAAATAATTACTTTTTATTCGGATAAAAGCACCCTAGATATAAGATTTATTTGATAATAATAAATAAATAATTAAATAAACAATTAATAATTAAGTTTAACAACGTAATTTGAATGGTTTAACATGGAAAATAATCATGAAAATGACAAAAAAATATAAATAAATAAACAGACACACAAAATGAAGAGAAAAAATTAACAGTAACAATAAAATAAAAGCATCTATAATATTTCCCAATGTTATTCTGTGGATACAATCCGCAGCAGGTTTATGGTAGGGTCTTGTAACTAAATGACAAACTAGACAAACAACAAAGACAAACTAGTTATGTCTAATGTTAAAATATCTTTTGACAATCCTAGTTTAGGGATTTTTTGATCATCCCTTAAGATCTGTGGTGTTTGAAGGCGCTAAAAAATTAAACCTGTTATCATACGTGATAGTTTGAACCATTTATCATTCTCTGTTGATCTAAGAGTGTTGATGAGTTTGACAATGCTTAGAAGTGTCAAATATGATGAATCCTTGGGGAAATGGTGTACGATAAATTAAACGCAAAAGGTTTTGGGTCGATGGAACATTTCAAAATTCCATTACAGAGGGAAAGCTTTTAGAAGGAAACACAATTGTCTTCAAGATGACAGGAAATTACTAATGGGCAATATTTCGTGATATTGGAAAGAAAAAAGTTTGGCTCTGACATCTACATTGATATTTTCCCTAAATCTCAAGGTTTTTGCTGTTCTGACAAAATTAAAATTTTGCCTATAAATAGGAAGTTTATAATGTATAAATAGTGATGTAAATTACTCACAGTCGATAAGGAGAGACATTCTTCTTTGAGTGAGTCTTGATTGGGGCAGCCGACCCAAGGAGGGACCGGTGTGCCGTTTCCTTTGCCCTGCTTCTCTTTGATGAACGCCTCCTGCTCCTTGTTGAACTCTCCGAGGAGGCTCTGCACAAATGAAAAGAAACATCATTGTAAAGATTGCTGGCAAAGTAAAAGAAAAAAAAATCATACTATTACTATTCTTGCTTATCAGAAATTTATGATCTAAATGTAATGCCATCCCTGTGTAAAAGTTTTTAAATATTTGGTCCAAAAAAAATAAAATAAAAAATAAACGGGTTGTTAAGACACGTCACTCCAATATAACTTAAAACTGTTGAGACTACTATCACCTTCACACACACAATGCTGGGCAAATTTGACTTTTGAGGTCAAATTAAAAATACGAGAAGCTTAAAACCAGTATACAAAAATTTTACATAATGCTTAAAAATCAACTGTTTCTCCTAGATGGAATCGCTTTATTTAACTTAAGCATGAAGCTAAGGAAAAGGAATAAACACTCTTGTCTGATTGGTGGGATCTTTTTTGTTTGCAATGCTCTCGACGAGTTTGTCATTAACAAGAAAAACAGGCAACGTTGATTATTACAGTATAAATAGACTTTTAAATGAGGTACATCAAGGGTTGTTTTCTTTAAAGTGATGACAGACATAATTTCAAAATTTTCTTTGTAACTTCTTTTCAAAGAAGGCTACTCAAAGGAAATACTATAATTACAGGTGTACAAATAGGTCCTGAAAGTAGTACATCAATTTATCTAGCTTGTGCTGCGTTCTTAATTGCATTTTATGGTAATTAAAGAACCTAGGCTCAACTGGATCGTTTATTTTAACCATTTCATTTGCAATTGTTCAAATTAAATCAAATTTTAACTCTGGCCAAGTCAAATTTCATAAAATACAATGTTATTGACTTATAATGTGTTTACTTAATAAATCCGGGGCACAAACTCTTGCTTTTTTTAGGGTTGTAATGGCGAGAAAACTCCTCAACTTTATTAATAATAGCTTATATCAGGTCGCATCTCATTGATGATGACGGGTTACATTGAGATGTTTCTAATTGTGAATTACCACCCATTATCGAGGTTTCAAATGACAATTACTATGTCAACTACAGGCACTGGAAGTATGGAGGATTTTTGTAAATCGTATTAACTGTGAACATTGGATCCAGTTACTCCATGGCCAAATGGTTCGAGCTGGACGAAATTGGCGTTTAACGAAATTATGACTTTTTTTTTACTTTGAACTTGTTCCAGAAGTCTAGGTTATGGTGTATACTCATAGGCTTGGCACTTCAAAAAATAAAAAACATGAAAAAATTTATTTAGAAATCGTGAGATGCGGTCTGGTGTGATGTAGGTTTCAGAAAAACATTTTCTTTATCGTGCCAACGTTTCGATCTTTATGGAGATCATCTTCAGGGTTTTTTTTGTGCAGTGTGTCATTTTTGTGTGTCGTGTTGAGAGTGCCCTCGACATGACATGCAAGAATGACACAATTACACAGAAGACAAACATTTTGAGCCCTGAAGATGATCTCAATAAAGATCGAAACGTTGGCACGATAAAGAAAATGTTTTTCTGAAACCTACATCACACCAGGCCGCATCTCACGATTTCTAAATAAATATGAATTAACGGTCATTAATCACAAAAAAAAAAAAAAACATGAAAAAAGTTAGCGTTTTGCCTCGCCCTGCTTATATCCTTACGCCATCTTTGTTTTCGGCCCATGACATCATTTTTAAATATAATATTTAAATACTTAATATTATGTCTATGTGAATGTTTTTCCTACCTCGAGACGACGTTATATTTCACGGGAATTCAAATTCTGGCTACAAGTTACATTCAAATATGCAACATGTAACAAAAACATATTCAGGTTATTATACAGTTAAGGAGCAATATTTTAAATCACAAGTATTTTAGATAAAACCTAACATTTGTTCAGATGGTCAGACCAGCAGCCTGTGCTAAATAAATACTCGAAGGTATAAATTACGGGACATGGATTATAGGCAACAATATGGTTTTCAAAATAGACTAAGCTGCCGCCTTAGAAAACTTATGTATAGAAAATCAAGACCAAGGCTTAAACAGAGACGAATGGAGTTCCAGATGGCAGGGTTATCGATCTTTATACGTATACCACAAAAGATTATATGTTTAAGAAGCAAAACAAAGATAAAAGTTGCTGAAGATTTATGACGTAGCAGGATGGTTGATAAGGCGTTAAAACGCTTGAAACACAACCTAGTAATAATTCTATGGAAGAACTAAAATCTGTTTGCAGTTTGAACTTGAGCTAAAAAGCAAAGCGACCCAACGATCCTGCACGTTTACTTTTGAAAAACGCAAACAGATATTGTCTTGTCTCAAACTGCTTATAGCCGTGGACTCATCTCAAAACTCATTATGGCATTTGAGGAACGCGGAAAGAAAGACTTGGCCAAACGTTGCGAAGTTGTCAAGGTTTGCCAGGTTTTTCATATTCATTTGATGGAAAGAGCCATCGTCTTCCTCGACCTGCTTATTACCCAGCCCTCACGTCAATTTATGTCGTTTGACAAAGGAGAAAAGGAAGGTTTGGTCAGAAAGTGCAAAGCCGCTAAGGTTTGCTAGGTTTTGTATTTACATTTGATGGATGGAGTCACCATCTTCCTCGACCTGTTTATTATCCAGCCCTCACGTCAATTCATGGCGTTTGACGAAGGAAAAAAGGGAGATTTGGTCAGAAGGTGGAAGCTGCTAAGGTTTGCGAGGTTTTGTATTTACATTAGAAGAAAGGAGTCACCATCATCCTCGTGTCAATATCCCACTCACGGCATTCGACGAAGGTGGAAAAGGAGGTTTAGCAAAAAAGTGAAAAGGTTTACCAGGTTTTTCATAAATAAACACTCGATGGAAAGTCGTCATGACTCGACCTACTTATATACATAATTTCACGATACCTAACGGCGTTGGACGAAGATGGAAAGTAAGGTTAGCCAGACATAGCAAAGCTGGTGATAGACGACCTGAGGTTTGCCAAATTTTGAATTTGATGCAACTGGGAAGACTTTTTATATTTTGAGCATGTACCAGATGGACAATTGTTTCGGCCTCAACAACTCGATCAAGAATAAGCAGTTTTAAAATCATATTGGGTTCTGATCAAAGAATGAAATTATGTTTAGTTAGTTATAACAACACAACGATCCCGCACGTTTGCGTTTGAAAAAAAGCAAGATTGTCATATATGTCAGTTTTGACTCGACCTTCTTATAACCCTGTCCTAATTGATCATGGCTTTGGTCAATCGATAGCACATTTTTTCAAACAAGGATGGCATTTTTCTTTTATTTAAACACAAGTTAATACCTAAACCACCAGAGAAAATAATTCTACCATGAAACTCAGAGGAAGCTGTTCGAGGAAAATTAACTCTATGTTTAGTCAGTAAAGTGGATTTTTTAAATACTGAAAGCTAAATATAAAACGAGTTTGTTTGCGAAATGGTTGAAGCTACTATACAAATTTTGTTTATTTTTACCCCCAACCCTTTTCATAAATTTCATCTCTACACGATGAGAGACGTTAGTAAAAGTTTTTTGAACAAACCCCATTTTTTTGAAATACATACGAGGAGCACGAGGGAGCGGAGTATCGACCTGAGGCTACGCATGCATTGAAAGGGATGTGAAAGGTCGGGGGGGGGGTAGGAAAAAGTAAATTGCCGACGTTTATAGCCTTCGGGCAAAGGGAAAAATTTCTTACTTTTTTTGTTAATATTTACTGTCGTACTTTCCTTTGACGATCTTCAAAAGGGGAAATAGCTATATTAAAAATAAAATAAAATCGAGGTGAAACGATGGCAAGATTGTCTGTGGTAAGGGAACAATAAAATAAATAATACTAAGGAAACGATATGGGGGGGGGGGTGAAATATTATTTGAGGATGGCGAAAGATGAAAAGTAAGAATGACTTTTTCCATTACAACAAGAAAATATACAAATCAATTAAGCTGAAATTTCTAAAATTTTGATCATTTTACCGACATTTCATTTATCTTTAAATCATTTGCCTTCAGATAAAGTTAATTTCAAAAATTTTATTGTGAGAGACAAATCAATAATATATTCAAAATTTTCATTTTTTGTTTTACAACAAAACATGTTATAAACTAGGACTTATTTCGTCATTAAAAAAATAAAAAAAGTCTTTTTTCCAATATTTTCTAATTACGGGCGAAGAATTACATTTTAAGCAGTTTTATTTCTTAAAACTGACGTCACCGTGAGGCCATTGATCCGACAGCTTTACTGACCCAGCCCCTTTCAGCCAGCACAGTTCTGAAGAGAGAGCCGAAATTTGAAAATCAAAAATTTGTCAACCGATATTGACAAGGAAATAACAAAACGATGTCGAAAATACAATAAAAAAATCATTTAGTGATAAATTAAAATTTAACTAACAATTTATTGCCTGGCACATGCGTGAAAGATCCTGTAATTCCTGAAAAAAAAGGAAACGCAGATGGCCGAAGAAGACTTCAGCTGTTTGTCGATCCATATTTCCATATATGTACATTAATTCCTTATACCATAACTCTCTTTGAAAAAGCTGTAACTTATGGCAGATCAAACAAAACGTTCTCTATGTCTTCTCCACACACGGTCTTCGCCAAAAACCAAACGGGCACTCACCCGTGTAGAGACCATTTGTTCAAGGGTCCAAGAGAAATGCTGATTTGCAAATAGTCACCTTTTTACTCGATGCCTATCCAGTAGAAGAGAACATGATTCGGGACGTCTAAGGACTGGTATTTTCACGAAGCTCACCCTTACATTACGGACCGTTTGGAGTTGACTACCTATTAGGGAAGCTGTTAAATGACGGTTCCGGTTCCGAAGGAAGGTCCTGGCAATTGCGGCAGTGTTTGCTGCGTCAGGATCGAAACAAGCTATATTGATGAACGAACGACATTCTCGCTTGTATTTATTCTTACACAAAAGTTTGCTTTGAAGACTGCACTTATATGCCATATAAGTATGTTTTATGAAATTGACCTAATCTTCTTATGGTAGTTGAAAGAGAAGGATTTCTCACCAATCT